AGCTACCATGTGGCTGCCAGGAATTGAACTCAAGAACTCTGGAGTTGCAACCGGTGCTCTTAACCTCTGAGCCATCTCTTCAGCCCCTCACATACCTCCATCTTTAAAGTCTTAAAGAAGTCTTCTCAGAAAGACTTTTTTCAGATCAGTTTTCCAGGATGAGTGGTGCTTTGTACACAGAATGTGACAGGAACAATTCATGCTGAAAGGGAACACATGCAAAGCACACGCTAGTGTTCTTTTAGGAACAGAACTCCACCTTGACTGGTTAAGAACCAAAGAAGGTCTCCCAGTTTCTGTTACCAAATTAGGCTCCAATATATATATATATATATATGTGTGTGTGTGTGTGTGTGTGTGTGTAAGTCAGGAAGACAACTGCAAGTCTTCAGAGTAAAAGAGTTTATTCCCCTAAGAAGCCCAGCACTACTTTAGATCTTAAAGTTGTTTTAGAATTAGTCTTAGGGAAATTGTTGGGGCAGTTTAATATTTGCTTGTGTCATCCTTCCACTCAGTGAGAATCCATCCAGTATCTCTTATGCACTCGGGAACATCCTGGTGCTAGAGGTACAGAAAAGAGTACAGTCACACGTGGGCTAGCTTCCACAAAGCCATCAGGCAGTGCGGCAGGGTAACAAAGATGCCATTGCAATTTATTCCCAGTGACAAAGTAGGTGTGTTCTTGGAAGTGAAGAAACACAGTCTTAAATAGCTATGATGAGCTGAGGGTCAGGGATGTCTTCCGGGATCGAACTGGGAGTTGAAGGCTGGAGTAGGAGAGCATTATGGCAGAGGGGATTCCTAAAAGCCTGTGGTTGGAGGGAGAATACTGAGAGGCCAGTGATGGACTGTATGGCCAGCAGCCAGACACGATGGAGATGCTTAAGGCCAAACAGGGAGAGAGGTTGGAGGGCAGCAAAACAAAGAGGGTTTTAAACACAGACATGTTTGAGAGCACAGGATAGGAAGTAGGTCCATCAATTCATCAATCGTTCTTTAATTTAGTGTGATGCGTGGGAATGTATGGGCACACATGTATTCGGAGGCCAGAGCAGTATTAGGGGCACTTTCTTCTATTACTCTCTACCTTACTGCCTTGAGATGATGAACCAGGAGCTTGCCATTTGGGGTAGGCCAGCTAATCAGTGAACTGTTCGTCCCTCCGATGCTGGGATTACAGCTATACGTGGCCATGGCCAGCTTTTTGTATGGGCACTAAGGATTTAACTCAGGCCTTTATGCTCACCGTACAGTGTTTCTTATCTACAGAGCCATCTCTGTATGAAACCCCCCACACCTTTAAAAAGATGTTTGCTGTTTGTTTGTTTATTTATTTATATGTATATGAGTGTTTTGCCAGCTTGTATGTCTGTGTATCAATTGCATGCCTGACACTTGTGGAAGCCAGAAGAGGGCTTCATATATCCTGAAACTGCAGCTACACATCTTTAGCTGCCATGTGGGGACTGAGAATTGAACATAGGCTACGAGAGCAGCCAGTGCTCTTAACTGCTGAGCCACCTCGTCAGCCCCAGGAGTTCGTATTTTAGACAAATCATTCTGACTACTATAGAGAGAGAGAGAGAGAAAAAAAAAAAAGCTTTCATCTGATGGATTAAGTAACAGGGGAAGAAGAAAAGAACTAATTTATGAAGCTCATATTCTAGATTTTCTTCCTATATGAAGTGATACATTGTGTCTGAACAATGCATTGAATATAACAAATTCCATGTACATGAAGGCCTGTTCGTCATCACTGTTACTACTGTCAGTAGCCTGTCTGTGGTATTCTGAATGTATTTCTTTGAAGCCACCCTATGGAAATCAAGGTTTGGAGAGGTAAACACCTCATAGTACGTTGCTGGCATGCAGCAGAGGTAGGGTCTGAAGCCATCATCTTCCTGATATTGGGAACATTAGCATCGAAGCAGTGTCAGGAAGACAACTGCAAGTCTTCAGAGCAAAAGAGTTCATTCCCCTAAGAAGCCTAGTACTACTTTAGATCTTAAAGTTGTTTTAGAATTAGTCTTGGGGAAATTTTGGGGGCCGTTTAATATTTGCTTGCCTTTCCCAGGAATATTAGGAAATTATTCATTCTTCACTAATCCAGTTAAATAATATGTGTCATTCACAGCTGTAAATAAATAGGGTCAAATGTAGAGTAACAGCGCTGCTAAAAAGAAACACCTCGGACCTCGGACCTGCTACAGAGGGCCTCTGAAAGCCAGAAAAAAACAGGAAACAACCTTGAAACCTGCCACAGAGGGCCTCTGAAAGCTTCTGCAGTATAGACTGTCAAAGCAGATGCTGAGCCTGATGGCCAACTGATGGGCAGAGTGAATGGAATTTTATGTAAGAAGTGGGAAATAGTAAGAGCTGGAGGGGACGGGAATTCCACAAGGAGAGCAACAGAACAAGATAATTTTAACACAGGGAACTTTCCAGAGACTCATACTCCAACCAAGGACTATTCATGGAGATGACCTGGAACCCCTGCACAGGTGTAGCCCATGGCAGTTCAGTGTCCAAGTGGGTTACATAGTAATGGGAAGAGGGACTGCCTGTGACATAATCTGATTGGCCTGCTCGTTGATCACTTCCCCCTGAGGGGGGAGCAGCCTTATCAGGCCACAGTAGAGGACAATGCAGCCACTTTTGATGAGAACTGATAGACTAAGATCAGA